GTAATTTTGTCCAATAACGAGTTCAAGACAATAGCACCCCTACTGATGAAAGCCTTGATTGCTATGTGCAAAATGAACTAATATTATAATAATAGGATTGTTGGATAAGTTAAAAAGGAAGTTATATATTCTCCAATAATTTTCAGGACGGTATGGCAGGTGCCCAATAGAACCCGGCAATGTTCGCAATTTATAGCGCCGTAGACAATCCCCGTTTGTTTCCTGAAATTATAACCCAAAATATTTCCTCGTTACCATAGAAATATCAAGGGGAAAGTGTCCTGTTTTTATGTATAACAAATTTCACACGATATTCTTTGATAATCTCCTGCCAAAAACTACTATTAAGTTTCAAAATCGTCATGGGAAGAGACCTTCGAACCGCACCGCCTTGGCAAGTCTTACCATTAGAGCACATAAAGCCGCCTGTGTTTTCAAAAAGCCTCCTACTCAAAATTCTATAGTGGAAACCCTGCGGTATATGGTCAATTTTCAACATGCAATCACGCACGCATGTAATCACGTTTATTTACTTATTTTAAACTGGGATTTTGCTGAACCTAACCAGCCAAGGGTCCAAGATAGCAAACTATATTCAAACTAGAAATGGTTGGTTTTCTGTGATGGTAAAATGAAAGTGATCTATAAAGGATGTAAAATTTCGATTTGATGAATTGTGGATCAGACTCACAAGCCCTCAGTTAGATCCAACCTCAGTATGGGAGTGAATGCATCTTTAAACTAGATAAGTTATATGTTTGCATGTCATTGCCTCCTATTTATTTATTTATTTAGCTTCACCAATTATACAAACAATTTTAACATATAAAATACATGCACATACAAAAAATAACACAAAGAAACGCAGGGACACCACAACAGTTTAACACTAATTACTGTAGGCACACATGACGCTATATTTAATATAGTTTCAGGCAATTTATGTTAAACGCCTGTGGAGGAGGTAGTGTATCATTGCAACATCCGTGCCGGTTTTGACATGTTACATTAATTACCTACTTAGGATCGCGGTTGTATGCGAGTGGGCGACTACTTTCGAAAGCCACAGCCTTGTAATTTGACACGCGATAGTCTGCACTTGAACGTTGCCATGCGTGATTAAATATTGTCTTACTTTTAAAGTTTTATGAAACTATAAAATATGGAAAAAACAAAAATACAAACCAAAAAATTAATTGTCCTAAATATGTGAAGACTTGAGTGATGAATATGCAAAAGCAGTTTATAAATTAAGTTATATAAGATGAACTATACACATGCAGTCCTCCTAAGGAGATGTATTAATGTAAACATCCTGTTTATTTATTAACTTCAGCCGTCAACCGAAATATACATATACAAACAGGAAGACGGTTCAGGAACACTAACACAGCGTGAGCCAATTACGTTAGTGACCTGTTACAAAACATCATTAGACAGATTTAGATCGAGGACGCGGACGTCAAAGACGACGTGAAAATGGCGTGTTATGCCCATGTATGCATATGCCACGCCATTTTGACGCCATTTTCACGTCGTCTTTGACGTCCGCGTCCTCGATCTAAATCTGTCTATTATACAAAACTTCACAACTTATAATTTAAATATCAAACAAGAATATAGTATAGTCCTTTTCATCCGAAGTAGAGAGAGAGGGTAAAAAAATTCGAAATTTGGGAAAACAAAATGACAAAATTGTCAAACAGAATAAATGCGAGAATATATATATATAGGTTCTGTATCCGTCGATAAAATAAAACGAAAATGGCGAAAAACCCAACTCTACATCGGATAAAAAACTAAACTACCCAACTCTACATCGGATATCTGTTTTCACATACTATAGACATTTGGACAACTGCCCCAAATTGGTCAATCGTATATTAAATTTCCGTATTGGCCTGTCTAAGCACGTCTTTCCAGTTTCCGCATCGATTCAATATCTTGCAGCTGAGATTCAATACGACTATCAAATACCATTTAACACAATTAACTGACAGGAAGTTATACAATGGGAATGTATGCAAGGTTTAATAACAGCATTGGTAAATTTGCATACAAACTTTAAATCAACGAAGGGAATGAATGGGATTGCTTTACGATAACAATACACGGATATACACATGAAAATCTGGTCACGGACTTGTGGAAAGTTTATCAACAAGTTACAACAATATCAGGGTGATGACAAGTTGTTTTGGTGTGTCATTTACCTTGTTAACAAGTCCTCGACCAAGCCGTTGATAACTTGTGAAAGAAGCTTGGCACAACACAAACCTGGAAACGTGACGACACAAGTGCTCTTAAACTTTGCGTGGTAGTGTAAAGTAACCACATCAAACACGCCTAGCAAATCTGATAATACTACAAAACAATTCCCCTTATAAACACGCATCATATATGAACTCGCACAAAATGTAACCCACCATGCATTCCACCAAACATGACACAACATACAGAGCCTATAGGAAGTATCGCATAGGAAATCGATCATGACTATATAAAGTTTAAGAGACAAGAGGATAATGAAAGAGTAATCGTATGAAACATAATAGGGGATGGTTTTCACCCATTCTATTACATGCAAACATGACATTCGAAATCCTTACCAGTCTTACTATGAAAATAGTATGGGTCCTGGTCGAAGGGTTTTTGTAGATAGACATTTTGAATTTTCATACCAATTGCTATTTGCATAAATATCACCTGAGTGCATTATTAGATTACGTTGAATTTACTTATGCAAATATTCCCATGGTATGGATTTCAATTTTTTTAAGTTTATCTTGTGGACATCTTTCTACAGTTATTTCTTCTATGGCAACCGCACCATAGGAATGCAAGCACATGCTTGCACTGCGCAAATTTGAAGTGCCCTTCTTGAGTCTTAGATCAACACTAGCTGCGTGCATGGAGATATCACTATAAATAATTATGACTTATAGTCTGTGCTGTCAAAAGCACAACTTTTAATACACATATAAAACTTTGCGCGTCGTGCAAACTGGAAGTGAATCACTTGAAAGTCCCGAAATGAACGTCTGGCCGTAGTTGCGGTCAAAGTCAAACGTGATATAGCACTTCAGTCCATGACAGTGATGACACCTTTTCGTGAGTAAAATCAAAACATAACTACACACCTTAATTTCACACCATATACGCACGTACTTTGTGATTTGCGCGTCGAGTTAGGATCCGGAATATGGATTAAATATTCACAGCACAATGTATAAATGAATGTATTATTTGCTATAATATGCAAAATCTTGAAATATGTCTTTCGCTGGCTTGTTTTGTCACATGGCTAAAAATGCATCCACTTAATCACGCCAGAAGTCTGTTGAACAACGGTTTTGATAAAATTATTTTGAACTAGCTATATTTTTGGAAAGTTATATTGCACCGTTCTACAAAAGCGCTGTCGCAATATAAAGCTTTTCTTCTTAATTTCCGAGTTACAAGCTACTATAGTTTCAAATCATTGAGTAATGTTTACAACCTTTCAACCACCAATTAAGCCAGTTACTCGAAAAGGTATTGCATTTACTGTGAAAATTTGAAAAATTCAAATTAAGTTGAAAATGACTGCATTTAGTGTCCTGGGGCCGGTTGTATAAAAAAGTGATTAAAGTTAACTACAGTTAGTGGAAACGTCATCCAATAAGAAGCGCGTATTTGAGAGTTAATCACTATTTAACTACAAAACAGCGATTAAAAAGTAATTAAGAGCTTTATACAACTGGCCCCTGGTGTTCGTGAACATGTCACTGTAGTTGATGCAATCGAGTATTGATACAACTCTGCAATCACTCCAAATCAGTAAGAATGATTTGCATAAACAGCACACAAAGTGCAAGAATGATCCAGACTATTTCACATCGTCGAATATGACACGACAGTTACGACCAAATAGAAACTGAGATGGAAGCCGCCAGGCTTAAGTAAAGAATGGTTTGCATACAGCATACAAACGACAAGCGTATATATAATCCAAATCACATCCGAGATTATTTCACAAGACTTGGTCGAAATGAAAACCAAGCTATTAAAAATAACTTGAGCATTATCAAAAAATAACTAAGTTGAACAAATAAAATGGAAAAGCGAGCAATCATCGTGGCCTGGGATGTTGTAGTATGTTATTGTATGAAATAAAATGTGTATACGTAGATGGCAAAGTTGATAAAAAAATAGTTTCCTCCTAATATATAAAAACAATTATGAATGATATCTTACATCTTATGGTTTCTGAGGTTTAACCCCTCTCAGGACGAACACCGCGAATTAAATTTTCCAATAATTTATATAAAATCCTCCCTTTTCATTGGCTAAAAATGCGTTCAATTTCACCGAACGCGTCCATTTCTTGGCAGTTTGGGTTTGCGTTTGGATTTTATCGCGTGTTTGTGGCAACTGATACGGCAGCTGTGTGTAACTAAATTTGAGTTGAGAAGATTAAACTCACGCGGGACAAGATAGTTTGCCCTAGATAATTATACGAGACACATTAGATTGTTTTTAACAATTAATTAACATATTATTTTTGCATTGATAATATGAAATATTGTCATGGACTTGCGAATATAAGCATAAGCCCATTCACGAATATAAGGCAACGAACTTAACACTAATACGAATAAAACGTAGCCTATAACTCGCTTATCTGAATAAAAATATAATGCCACGTGATATCATGGGCACGTGTGAATATTAACGTCCTAAATTTCCAACTATTCATGTACCAAATCATAATGCTCATCGAAGTTTGTGTACAAATTCTCCCACGAACAAGGCATAACGGCTAGGACTTTGATTGGATGTAAATTATAAGACAAAATTTATGTACAATACATTAGTTCCTCCAAATTCACTTTTGTGTACAATATAGTAAAGCCAAAAGTGCAAAAAACCCGCCGAGCAGGCTGCAGCATAGCATAGAACACGAATAATTAAGGCTACATAGGAAATCCTGCCTCCCTCTTCGTTTACAAAGGTACCATCTATCTTGTTAAATATCTCCGAATCCCCTCAAGTTAAGCCAACGTGGGCAATCAAACCTCGCGAACACGAGACATGCAGATAAAATATCTCCATATACTTTACTCGTGACAGCCAAGCCTGCGTGGGATAATCGCCTTAACGGATAAGCTATCTGTTTCCTCGCGCAGCTGTTAACTAAATATTCCATATTTTTTACCTCAATTTTTTCACGTAAACAAATGTGAAATGGAAGTGACAGAAAAAGTAAAGAATGTCGCGTGTATAGAATAAAACAGAAACCTTTATTTAAATTAATTTAATGGACGCCATGGCCTACATTCTACAAGAGTGCGAACGAGACTCGCGCCGTCTGCACCACTCTCAGCGAGACTCCCAGAAGTCGTACATGACGACACCCACACAACACGTTCACAACCCCAACCTTTGGCTACGTTTCCACTATACCAAATCGCTTTCCGTAGCAGGGCGAAAAAGCATCTATCCGATACGGAATGTACAACTTTCAGAAGCTGAGCGAAACAACATCTCTCCGTTGCAATAATTCCTCTGAAAATAGCGTTCCTAGAAGGTACAGATAGGTGTTTTTCACGTCGCTACAGAAAGCTAGCCCGGTAGCGTAATCCCTTCAGGATTCGTAGAAACATTGCAACCCAGGGATCATTATTTCCATCAAATCACTTCATCTTTGCATGAAACGGGAACACTAAAGACTTGTACACAAGACAATTATAATGAACATGAAAACCACTGAAAAAGTAAAATACATTATCCACTTGCCAGTAGATTTTTTCGCCCACTTTGTTGATTTAGAAGTGCAGAGAAAGAAATTTGTTCGGTTCCAATTATGCAGTTGAAACGCTGAAAATGTATTGCTGAAGGTCCAACCCAAGATCTCTCGTTTAATGTAGAGGCTCGAGGACATTGTAACCAGCGTAGCAACGTATATAGATGCAACTGAAACAAGAGATATTGGGTTCGATCACTCGACTCCACCTGCAGGATTGCACAAGTTCTGAGGAAACAAGCTTAATGCTGCTGTTCAACAGTCAACATACGTGTTTCCGTTGCATCAAAGTCTACTGTTAATCGCTGCATGCATTGCCAACATGCGTCATTTCCTTGCCGGTACGTGGCTATGTATTCTGGCAAAAGCTATACCACGGATTTATCAGTAGTTTGCACTTACTGTCAAGTATTACCCTCACGAAGTAATAATGGGGGATGTGCACTTTCTCAGAATTTTAGAGCAGTCCAATGGAATGTTAGAATTTTAGCAGCCTCCAACGTTAGATCAATACCCCCAAGGCATTTGACATCTCGTGATGGGTATAGTTCAGTAGGAACTAGGAAACCAGTAGCAGCCGACAGTTTAAAAAGTTATAATACAAAATGCCCACATGCACAGAGAATTGCCAGTTGTCAATACAAGATTACTTTTACACAACCTAACCGATTGCAAAATGTTATTTGCAAAGCACTTGTTGACATGCCATTAGGAAGATCACTGGTCAATACATGTCCACAGGAATCATGTGGTATCACATTTTTCTGACTTCAAACATGCCATATCGATTGCAGTCCAGTGTCAAATGGGAGATCAACAGGCATATTAAACATGGACTCTATACAAAGTTTGGTATAGTCGTCCTCCTCCAACAGTCTGTAACAAACCTTTTTTCAGCTCATGATGGCAATAAGTAGGGCAGACTAAAAAGAGAGATCAATATTTTTTCTGTTATTCAACTGCTATGTAAGGTAAAGTCCAGTTTCTATTGGTTTTGGCTGTTTCGATCACGTGAATTAAGGTGGCTGATGTACTATACCATGTTGATAGATACGTGGTAAACACAGAAGAACCGACAAAAACATGCAATTCCTCACTATTCATATGATTTCCTGGCGGCGTTCCAATAAACCAACAAGCCATATGTGGAGTACGGTTTAAATGCAAGATGAATTATTTCATGCCATATTCAGCAAAACACTTCAGTTTAAATGCGAAATTAATGAGATATAAATGCCCACACAAGTAAAGAGCGAAAAGGGTTATTTCCCCGGCATTTAACTAAACTTTTAAAAAACAACTTAACATTGGAACTTGAAATGACTTGAAATTCAGACAGCGCGAAGTGTTCCTTCCGATTCCGCATTCCTGTACGTCATTTGTCATAATGATAAACTTCCTATGTGAGTTGCCGGCAGCAAATCCTGAAAGGTGTGCCCTATATGGATTATGTTATCACTTGATATAATATATCGTTAGCTATATAATATGTGAAGATCTAAGTCTATTCTTAGATCATAAATATATGATTTAGCTATAATCTATTGTAATATCGATATTATCATTATTCAATGAGATGCGTGGCAGAAGATTTATATTTTTAAGCTCTTGGATATAAGATACATTTTACAGCGATCAATTCCGAGATACGCTGGGGCTTTTCAAAACTCTTTCTTTCAGGCAATCTATACTTAAACTGACAGATATACATATATGATACTATGGAAATCAGATTCACATAACTAAATCCGTATTCACACTGTTCCCATATACTATATGCCCACTATGAAGGTATGAGAATGGCAATTATATTAGATGGAGACTGGATTTCCATACACAATTTCCACCTAAGATTCATATATGCTACTTCCAAAGTAAAGATTGCTGGAAAAATAAAATATCCAGTGGAAATAAGTTCATAACAATCCCTGCATACTTTATTTGTATTTGAGTCCTCATTATCATACGCCAGAAGCAATCTCGTACCCAGAGCTATTGAAATAAAGAGGTTGCGAGATTGCGTCAGAAGGAAAACTGCAGTAAAAATCTCTCTACTAGTGCCAGGCTCTTCCGAGTCACTCAAATGAGCTTGGCCGACATTGGTTTACGTTTTTGCCTTAAATTAGATATTAATTCATTTGCTACGAACTTAGACGTCATAAAGATCTTCTTCAGTTTATATTTAACTTCCTGAAAAATGCTTAGCCTCGCACGTAGTTTAATTTAAAAGATGTTTTTATGCATTTGATGTTTTTATCCGGAATGGGATCCAAACACAAAGCAGCTTTGATGCCGGCTTATATTTTTAGTTCACTTAGTCTAAAAAACACTTATACAGATTCGCTTTAAAAGCATCAAAGGATCTTCATTTTCAAATACACTGGATATTATACCATCATAAAGGCTGGCTAACACTATCAAAGTTTCTGTGATCACAGTAGGAATTTGCAAAGGTATATAAATTCTAAGTTTTGAAGGATTTGTAAGAAATGTTTGAGGGACTGACTTGGAGAGTTAAAGACTGAGTTAGTTCCCTCAAACATTTCTTACAAATCTTTCAGAACTAAGAATTTACCGATGCAAAATTCCTACTGTGATCACAGAGACTTTGATGGTGTAGACCAGCCCATAGCTCACAAAAGGAACCGTTTCATCAGTTGCATTTATAACGGCAGTCGATATTTGAATATAAATAATAGAAGACGTTAACACAGGACTAATATAATGATCGAACGACACTGAACATATTGCGAGATATTGCCATAACGTATTGTTGCTATTCTACGAAATTCGCTTGTTGGCTTAACCTGGATCTAGTGCAGAAAATAAAATATATAATGGGATAAATGTATATCACTCTGCCTTACGCCAAGTTAAACAGCGGTTATATACACAAACTAGCCGTATGCATAAAGCATAAATACAATTCACAACAGCTTTAATATTTTATGAATCCTGAACTCTAAATAACTTTCACCTATAACACGTCTTTTTAACTTTCTCTAATTGATAACCGCCAACATTTATTAAGTACAAAAACCTGGCACTAAACTAGAATTATATGTATATTATGTTTAAATACATGCTAAGAAGATGTAAAACGAAATATAAATTTGTCTTGAGAATACATTAATACTAAATAGCAAATGTGTATCTGCCTATGTCTATGATCAATATAATATACATGTTTGATTCGCACAGTCGGAAGAATATTTTGATGCTATAACTGGCACACTGGCAAAATTATATCTATATTTTACTGGCCGTTTTGTCTTGACGGGCAAGTGAAGCGTCTTCGGTTTTTCAGCACAGCAATCACAAACCAATATCTTTATTTTAAAGCCGGGACGCCAACACTCACTTGAATACATTAGCGCTGTGCTTCAGTTCTTGCCTGCACAAACACCTTCAATTAATTTGAACTAATTCTTTCCTAACTGTATTGTGTATGTCCTAAAGTTGAGAAATTTAGGGAGAGAAAACGGAAGACCAATCAGGTTCATAACCCTAGTATAGGAAAACAAGTTCAAATAAAGCAAGAAATGGACTTGATACGATTTTGAGAACGGCGAGAGTACGAAACGATTTCGTACTTTATTTCTCGTTTTATTTTATGAAATCGATGGGAAATATAACTCATAAGCAGCATATCTAGCCACTCTAGAACTTTGTACTTCACAGAAATTTCCAGGTTTTTCCGCATACAAAATTCCATCCTTTCGAAATCTTGTCGGCTACGACTTTGTAGCTGAGTCTTAGATTATTTCGCAATTCGGTTCGTATAATTTCAACATGGCGGACATTTCAAGTGTCTTTAGAAGGAATTTCATACACAACTACAGTCTACAGAATACTGCGCGGTATCTGTAGCAAATTTATCCTCTAAAAGAGGAGATTTCTTGTAAATTTGCCGAACTGTGACGTATGCAAGACGGTTGGCGATTGTCGTTTTCTCAATTGGTCGTATGACCTTTCGCCGTTTCGGTTCTCAATTTACTGTCAACTTCAAGATGGCGGGCAGATTGAGTGTCTCGAGGCATAAAAATATAATACAGTTGACCTCCTACGTGTTCTTCTGTCTTGTTCTTGTAGTGTACTTCTAAGATGTACACAGCTGTTTATTTGCAAAAACACCTACGTCTTTTTGCAAATAAACCCGAATGTTAAGTCTATTTTGCGGACTATATTTTCTGTATAACGGCAATTCGTATTTTAGTATAATAGCCACATATATATAATATATATTGTTTCGAGCTTACCTATACATTAATCTACTTATGTGCATAATCTGTATTTAAAGCGCTCGTTAACTTCACATCTCGTCGCTTTACATTGGTTGTTAAATTATATTGAAATTAATCTATATTTTTGGACGCAATTTTCCAAAATAACTTGCCACTCTAACGGCAAAATTATTTATCGTATAGCTTCTGCGATTTTTTAATTTTGTGCAATCTTGTTTTACGCCGAAGCAGCTGCACTTATTTTTAGCCTGCGTGTACTATATTTGGCCGCAAGATATTGACAAATTATACTTCTCTTGATGCGATTTAATACGGTTGGCATTACTGAGGGGCAGGTGGCAATTTCACTGTATGCATTATTGATGATCGCATAGACGCATATATTTTCAAGCATTATCCATTTCGCGCTGCCTCGAAGCAAATTCCGCTTTTAAAAAAGTTTATATCCGGTGATAGTCTCGAGTCCAGTGTAAATGGTGATTTGAAGAGAAAGAAATTTGGGTCAATGAAGGTAATGGCGGGAGTCGAAGTTCCGCATAGCTTGACGTCAAGCATTCACCAGCTTTGTTTTGGTCTCCTGGCAACCAAACAAAGCAACACCCAGTTTCAAGTCAAAACTCATCATGTGTTCTTAATATTATTTGATAGCCTGTATCCGTTAAAACACTCCCGCTGGTGCACACTGCTATCTTAAGAGTACAATATTCCTTCGAAAAAGCGCAATTTCTATGCATTTCGCCTTAGCTTTGTGCGATAGACATAAAGAATTTAAAAGCGCTCCTGATGGATAGTTGACATCCATAATTACATTTCGGAATGTTAATCTGAAACCAAACTGTAGATAATAGCGCATTAGCATCTACGTCAATCGACTCTCATAACGTCACGAGAATACGCGACGCTGATTGGTCGAGCGCAATGAAATATTCCAACGAGGAATATACATAAAAGTTGAACGTTGGGGCTGACCAAACCAAACCAAACCAAGCACAAGAGTGAAAACTTCGGCTAGTCCGAAACCATCAAAAAATTTTTGAAAGTTATTGCTGGTTCAATAACTTACTGTTGATCAGTACAAGTTTTAGTCAACCTTTTTTGTTTCTACACGATGACTTACACGAATTGCTACGACTACAACAATCTGTTGACTGCGACGAACACGACGGACACATTGGGAAGCTTAGGAAGCCTCGCCAAAGTTGCCACCGACCAACTTTTAGGCTGGACGGATCCAACCGGATTTCTGGCATCTCATCTCAACTCCCAAGCAGCGCAGGCATGCCTTGATGACTTTGCTTTTGGTGTCGATTCATTCGGCGAACAAACTGTGCCAGGTAGCTTAATATTTTTGTCTTGACTCGTCATTAATAGCTCGTTTCCTTTAACGAGACTCGCCCACATTTGTTGTTTTCGCTTGTGCGTGTTCTTTCACATATTATAACCGGTAGTCTATAGTTTAATCTAACGTGATGATACTTACGATTGTTTAGTTTCTTTACTATATCGTGTTCGTGTTTTTACTTGGGCGTCGTTCGTTGTAGTTGAATTTCATATGACGCAACAGCGCTTTTGCTATTTTGTTCGGCTCGGGTTTTGTTCATTACAGCTACTAAATAGCCCACGCTTTTAAAACTACTTTAATATTTGTATTCGGCTTCATTTGTACCATTTAAAAATAAATTTGCTACGATTCGATGAAAAATTTTTGTTTCGCAATAGGTTAGCGGTTCGCGGATGCGTTTCTCAATTTTGCCTCTGGGGAAAACGAATTCCTTCGTGATCCGATTACCTTTAGCTTTATACTTATTACTGTCAACTAAATTTGTATTTTGATTCTTTCTTTAACAGGAGAATACGACTTCGCAACTGTCCCCGACATAAAACAAGACATTAAACCGGACATCAGCCAACTCCAAAAGAACGCACATCGTTTAGACCAGTTTAAAACCCCATCTCTCATAGACGTGTTTTCCACAACGACAGCAACGACCCCACCGCCAGCATCGCTAACATCACCCTACCACTCTCCACCTCACAACCTATGGAACCCCGACCGAACAGTTTTGACATCTCTCGTCAGCAACGCGAACCCTATTAACACGGCTACGCCATTTTCGAGCAGTTGTTCTACTCCAGCTTCAATGTCGCAACCCGTGTCATGTAGCCTTCAAAACACCGTGCCACCGCAATCCGCTGCCATGTTACAGAAGCTGCAACAACAACAACAGTTCTTCGAAACATACCAAAAAGTAACCCAAGCCGCCTCGGCTTTCCCTTACACGAAAGCTCAATCGGTTTCATCCTTCCCCTACCTACAAGCAACAGCTACTGTTAACATGAAGTGGCCATTGATCAGCGACCCAAACCAGTTATCCCAAAACCTTAAGCTTGATGCAAGCCTCGACAAACTACTAAACCCCACACCGAACGACTTTTTAAACAACAACATCATGAAAGTCGTCAAACCGATCCCAAACAACAACCACAGACCCACAAAAGCTGGTAGCGGTATTTTGAAAGTGAAGCGCGACGACCAACTCACGAAGCGGGCAAAAACACCGCCAAGTGAACGACCTTATGGATGCCCCGTTGAAACGTGTTCTCGTCGCTTCTCACGTTCTGATGAGCTCACTCGCCATATGAGAACTCACACCGGGCAAAAACCGTTCCAATGTCGCATCTGTATGAGAAATTTCTCCCGCTCCGATCACCTTACCACGCACATCAGAACTCACACGGGTGAAAAACCTTTCGCTTGTGATACCTGTGGCCGACGCTTTGCCCGCTCCGACGAGAGAAGACGACACATGAAAATCCATCTTCGTGAACAAGCCAAGAAAGAAGAAGAAGCGAAGAAGGCGTTGGCTGCTCAAAGCCATCCAAACCTTTCAACCGTGCCCTCGCCTCAATTCCAAGTTCCTTCACTTTCCCCAATGCCACGACCCCTTTCCGCATGAACACAAAAACTTTCAGTATGAACACTAAAACGTGATAACGCTGGCGTTGTCATGACATATCGAAAGAACTTATATAACGAACACATAGCACGTATAGAAAACACGTTTGTATTATATTTAAATAGTATGAGAGATGAACATTTTAGGCTGGTCCCTAAACCTTGTATATAATATAGTCGATGAAAGAACGCGTTATATCCAATAATGTGTAACGTAGAGTTGAGTTGATCCTGTTGATTCGGGATTTCAAAGGACGTTTCCGAAGCAATTTGCGTGGCTGTGCCGCGGTCTTTGTTTGTAATAATTTATAGTATATTTTGATTTAAAAATGTCAAGGCACAACTTGCCTCTAGTATTTTTTGTTTCAAAAAAATAAAAATAACCAAGTTAATTTTTTATACTGATTCTGAAGTGCTGACGTGTCGCACAAACACGTACAGACTTGTTTTATATTTTGACGGTAATATCAGCAGAGTGTGTGGAAACTTTGCGGTTACCCCAAAGATATTTTAAAACATTTTAGCTTGAAACAAAAATCGATTAATTTCGCGTGACAGGCTTTTATCTGCGGGGTAAAAACGAAGTTCCCACGTCAGCTTTAATATTGTATATAGCATTTAAGCGCCTTCTTTCGTTTGTGTTTTTCTAATAACTTTAAAAGCAATGAATTCGCGCTGGTCAGCGAACCTTAATATGTATATTGTATATATCAGTGGCTGGCTCCTGAATATGTAACATTGAGTGAAAAAATACAGCGTTTTGCCCAAACGTGTTGCGTTTGTATATCCTATGCATTATTTTGATGCGGTAAGTGCAAAGTAAGGCCATTTTTAAAACGTTTTGTTTTGCGTGCGTAAGTGCATTCTTGCATAAGGTTTCGGCACTTATAAATATTTGCATGCACTTATATTGGCGCCTTACCGACTTGATTCAATATCGCTGACGAGTTGCCAGTCTGAAAATATGTTTAAAACGTTCCCCTCTATGTTTCATGTACATTTCATTCTTGTATAAAGAAACCTCACGATAAGAGAGAAGATATCGTTGCCTTGTTTGGGCATCGCGTCGAGCAGATGTTTATGTATATGTAAATTTAGGTTCGCCACAAAGCAACATTTAAGCGTGTTTCATTCGTACAAAGTTGAACGAGTCGTATTATACATACCCTATGAACATATATTGAATAGATTTTTGTTGAATTTACTAAAGAATTCGAAGTTTTGAACAAAAAAATAGGAACAACAACAGTTCCATCTGCTTGATTATTAATGAGCCCCCTTAAGCTGTTGATGGATTTCTGTCGGCATGGTTTAATTAAAACTGGCAAAATAGAAAACAAGTTGTGCCAACTCGAGACAAATAGACAGTACAACGTGTCTTAATTATTGTTTGTGGAGCTAGGTAGATTTTATCTGGTATGAAGATAATTTGTAGGCATTCGTTAACATTCCTTAGGAATTTTTGGCTTTTTCTCTCGCAGTATGATATTTGAAATCCCCCACTGCTTTTCACTTGAGGTTTAATTGCTAATATGCCTGTGTTATTTCAAATATGCGGTATTTGTTCCAGCATGAACTGAACCGAAGTACCGCTCAGTGCGATTATTTTACACTGTAATGCAATTCCTCAAATACCAAAAATCACAAAAACAATATTTGTACAATAGATGGTAATGAAGTATGCCTTATAGATAACACAAAACTTTCACCTGAACATGACAGGTACATGGATTCAGGCTGTTCCTAAGATTTCTAATAAGCGCCAAAATTAGACCACAAATTGCTCAATGCCACAATGTACTATGTGTGCTAAAGATTACAATATAATTTCTGTATTCTTCATTATTTTCATAGACGAGTTAATTGACTTGGCTTACACATACTTTGTACAATACATAGCTATGCGTATTACTAAGACACGTCAGCACACTTGAGCCTGTTGCTAAGATTTTTAACGCGAGCCAAAATTAGGTAGCTAATTTTCTAATTTTCTATACTATATTGTTTTCACAGCCACAGGTAAGGTTATTTGAGCTGCTTTAAACTATAGACATTCCTTTACACATTAAAGTATGCGGCTTTGATTAAAAATCTGTGGGTCAACGTTTGATGATGCCAATATTACCACTCTTACCATGGATTGCAGAAAAATATGGGAAATCTTGCGTACACAACGTATAACTCTTATAACTAAAGTATTACTGTAACTGCATACAATTTGGATGCCTCTTATGCTTGATATGTTACCACGTGTCAAACGGTCACAATTGCTGATAGTTTTTATGTCAACAGTACGTTTGGTAACATCATCCTGTTTCGCGCATGAATATATTTCTCTTTGATCCTGACAATTCAATCACAACAAGCTATTCTTAATCATACTGTGCGTGAAATATGAGGAATAGCTCAATATTATGACAGGCATACAAGTATCCAAGATTCCTTTTCAATCGAAACTCAAAAAGTGCCCATTCTTTTTCAAAGCGGATATTTCAAGCGTTTTAGCGACTAAAATAACAATTACTTGTCTTCAGTGAAAATGTACTGTACATAACTGTACATCAAAATATTGAAAATATTGATTTGTAACGGAATTCAATCCCAACCCACATTGTTAAGGCAGCCCACTCATTGTGTGTAGAAAAAATAACATCAAAATTATGCTCTAATTATATAGGCATTGCGGTACATGCAAAGCAATATCATAATATTTGATTCTTCCTTTTTATGCTCTCCGTCATAGCCAATCCCCCTCTTTATACGTACATGCACTTGCATCTGTCTTTATCACTGATGGAGAAGATTTTCATAGAAGATTTTAGATTACGTCACAAATTAGATAAAGATATCTATTTATCTGTTTTAGTCCATATTTTGATTTTCAAGTCGTTTTTTGAGGGAAAAACGAAGACGGAAATACCTGTCCTATGAATTGACCGATAACAGAAGGAAGCATTTGAAGTGAGTGCGAAATAGGCGGAGTACTACGATGTACAATAACAACTTCTGCCAAAAATACCAAGCACTGGCAAACACTTGCTGAGTTCAACAACAAAGGTTTTGTCTTACTTTATAACGAAACAACTGTTTAAAGATAAAATTGAGACACAATAAAGATACAATGAAGATAAAAATGCCCAACCAAGTCTTTATTCCATCACAATGAGCATACATACACCAAGGACAAGGCAACAAGTTCCTTTACTCTCTACAATTGGATTAAAATTGGATAACTGTTTCACTTGACTATTGCTACCAATATAAGATTTGCAACTCCGATCCGATAGGAGGTTGACTGGAATAAGATAATTCTCACAAAAGGTTATGGACACATTACGGATGTAAAAATTCTAGCCATATCATTTTTCAATATTGTACGAAGAATGTTGAATCTATTGTGGCAGTGAAATAACAACCACTTAGCTAACAACAAGATAATTGAGTTTCACTTTCAAGATCCCACTGCTTTCCTGTGTCTTCATTGTTGGGGGTGGGATGGAAGATGTTGTTGACTGTTGTGGGAGGTTTTGGGATAATTGACACAGATCCCTGATCATGTCTAAGCATTCTTTTCGAGTTGCCTGATGTCGAATTTAATCTATTTTAACTGATATTGTTTTGGCAGGTTTGGAGAAGTTGTTCTATAGGGCACTGTTTGCTAATATGGCTTGCTGGTGGTGGAAACAAACTTGACAAAGTAACAAACCAACTCATGTGAGAACGGAAAAGACAGCGTAACAGAGTGAAAGAGATCTTTCATTTGAAAGAGTTTTTTTGTTTGAAAGTTCTATTTATATTTCGATGGTCTTCCTTTTAGTGTAGGCTGTAGTGAAAGGACTATAAATATTCAGTTGAGAGAAAGGAACAGGGTTCCCAATACATTTTCATCATCTATAGCCTGAACAATCACCAGCTATTTCTCAAATTACAACCCAAAATATTTTCTCCTTACCACAGAAATGTCAAAGGAAAGGTTTTTCTGTTATATAAGCTACATTTTACATGATATTCTTTGTTAAATATTTGAATATGAGGAAATCTTCAAAACAGCTTTTCAAAATTGCTGGAAATGCCATCGCAGATCAAGGGGAGATGCCCTCAGACCCCTTCCTCTAGAAGAGTGCATTCAGTACCAATAGCCGCCTACTTCTTTCAAAACGCCTCCAAATTCTATTGGGGATCCTGAAAGAAAGTGTGCCACTACTAAGGAAAGGACATCCCACTGGCTTGAGACACAATTTTAGGGGGCCGGTTGTTTTTTGCCTGATGTCAAATGTTATCATCAAAATTTTTTTGCCTGATCGTGAACCAAAAATTGTCCGACTTTGCCCTATTTCATTTTACAGTATACTGCTAGTTATCCTCCAAGGAAAACAGGCAATCACTAGGAATGGAAACAAGAGATGCAAGAGGATATATCCATGTGTTATTATATCCCACCAAGGAGGATGAAGGGACTGGCTGCCCCTCCCCAATGTTTTTCAAGGATGGAAAATTGTCATCAGATTGTAGGTGTTCCTTGTCTTGCGTCACAGAATGCTATACAGAAGTCCATCTCCATTGTTTTATGCGTAAGCGCCATTCGTCATGAATGATGATTTGTCACTCAGCAAGTACCGTAAACAGAAGCAGTCACCTCCCTGGAAATATTCAAAATGGCACATGTGCAGGGGGTGATTGCTGCTTCTGTTTACGGTACTTGCCAAGTGACAAATCATGACGAATAGCGCTTTATTGCACTTACGCAAAAAAAAAACAATGGAGATGGACTTCTGTATAGTATTCTGTGCTTGCATGCATCTTTAAAGCTCTATTGATTTGTATATTTTCACTACCCGCTCCCAAATATATATAAAAATCATGGCATTCTAATTCGTGGTACTTTACACAGAATATAAACATTAATTTAATACAACACGCTATTTGCACAGTGCTATAATATTAAATTAAAAAGAAATTCATTTCTATTCACTATATTATAATTTTATGTGTAACAATTTGCATATTTTAAAACGTAAAATTAATATACGAAAACATATGCAAGTTGCATATGTATGCAACATTAACATAATTGAAACGTTTTCTCTCACCTAAATGGCTTTACAAGTCCCAAATACATCTTTCCTTTTGACCTTTTCATGCCAGATAATTCCACGATGCAATTTACATATTCATATATGTAACCCTTTTTATACAAAATTTGAACTATTATCACAGAATTATCATGAAATCAAAGCAAAAAATTTCAATGGTAGAAAATCGCCATTTTGAAAAATTTTCCCGCCAAAAATACATTTTCGTTCCTAGGACTTCTCGGTTTCGTTATTTCGTACTATTTCTTTTCTTTGTTTTGTTCTCTTTGTTTTAGTTTTGTTTTAGTTTTCAGGACTTTCAGGCTCTCCCAGTTTCCATTGCCTGTAAAAGCTAGATAAAAAGTGGGATCTGAATTTTGTATATTTGGGCAACGAACAGCTTATTACAAAATTCTGTTTCAAATTTCATGCTGCAATTCTCTCGTCCTTGAAAGAGATAATTATGCTAGATTTAAGATCCTTGCCCTTGGAATTTGAAACCCAAGGGGCCCCTATGTTGCCCCATGGTGGTTTATCAGTTTAGCAATGCACACAACTTGCCCTATTGCCACACAGATGAGTCAGCTCAACTCGAGTTTGCAGAATATTATTAATAAACTGTGTTGGTGCAATGTACTCAGGTGAATATGATGCTTGTGATAGCATCATTATTAAACTGTTAAATATACGAGGTCCGTATATCATTCGTCGGTGCTGGAGATTAATGGATTTAATGCAAATTGTCTGATGTTATTTGATAACAGGAATGTAAGCCTGTGGTCACGTTCGGTATCTTACTATTTATCGTGGGTAAACCTCCTCCGCAGCTCGTAAATATTCCATAATTTCGTATCAATTATCATCTAAAGACTAAACGTGATCTTTCAAAGAGGATTAGCAGATCACCCAAACCCCATAATAGGCATACAGCTGGCAAAAAAATTATATTAACTGATATTGATACCAAACAAACGACGAAACAACAATTTTGGAACTGATTACGAAGTGACATCACTAGTGGCATCACTAGTGGCATAGTGGCATTATGCTATATGCATTATTAGTATAATTACATAGGTGATTATTGAAAATTCTCCACGCTGATTGGTTGCCGTTGAGGTGATTATTACGCGATAATCACCTAAGCGATTTTCAAAATGGCGGCCGAAGCCTTTTTGTCAATTAAATGACGAAGAAATGTGTATTTTCTTATTTTTTCCAAATAATCACCTATGAAATTATACTAAAACAATTATTCACCTCAGGCTCGGTGATTATCGTGAATAAAAACCTCGACTTCGTCTCGGTTTTTATTCACCGATAATCACCTCGCCTTCGGCGAATAATTGTTAACTATAAGCACCAAACATCGTTTCGCGTTTGACCTTCTCAATCAGTCTCACTATTTACCAAGCAGCAACAATGAGTTCGTGAGTTGGCTGTTTAGATTTGGCGATGTCTATATTAGTGTAAAATTTAGGTGTAAGATTTAGGTGCAAAATTTAGGGGCAAAATTTAGGTTGAATGATATGCTAATTCTGATTTCAGTCCAGTTACATATATTTATATTGAAGCCAGTGGGCTGTAAGTATTTAAACTTTTAACCAATCAGATGCTGTCTAGTCATCTTACGAACACCCGCCAGAAACCGCCATATTGTTCTCGCGATGTAAACATAAACATGTTTGCGAAGGCGATTTTAGTTTTGATTTATTTTCTTTTGGTGTTGTTGGTGGCGAAAGTTCTTGATATTTCCTCGAGTTGGTTGGAGCTCAGCTGTGTGGCATCTCCGCTATTTAATCCCTTTGCACTTAGCGTCAGAAGACTGAAGACCTTGCTGGACGAACGAGGCATCAGTTATGTCGGAGTTGTGGACAAGAGCGAATTAGCGCAACTTGTGAAAGAATCTGGGAGTTTTAATTCAGAAGACAACTGCACAGAACTTGTGGACGGTCGAGAAAACGAGAATGATGCAGAAACTACATATTTTCGAAGTTCGTCGCATCTGTTCGAAAAAATTGAAGACACCAAGGCTAGCGGGTGGTTGGTCCAAATCATTCCTCAATATAGAGCTTCTCTGTTGTCGCTAAAACAGTGGGTTAAATTGTCTAAGAAAGTGAGACTTTTAGGAATCAAAACAGGAGTGTTCGATTGCAGTTTAGACCCTCGTTTATGCGCGAAAAACGGCTGGGATACGAAATGCTTGCTGCTGTCATCTCCCGTAGGCCAACATGCCAAAGGAAATGTCAATATCAATGTTTACAATTCCAAAGCATCAGTAGAGCGTACATTTTCTTGGCTAAATAATGTTCTAGCAACAAGAGTTAGGAAACTAAAAACACACAGAGAATACTTAAAGTTCGTAAAGAAAGATAAAAATAGTTATGAAACGACAAAAATTGTTCTTTTTGGTCGACTCTCGGAGGACCCGCCCGCTCTGTTGTCATCTTTATCTATACAATTTACAGGGAGAGTACACTTTGCATATTTTAAAATTACAAAGGAAAATGCTGATGAAATTCGAGAAAAAGTTGGTATTCATAAAGTTTCTAGACTCCTGCTTGTCACACCAGAAAGACGGTTTTTCTATGGAACAAGAAAGGGAGAAGTTCTACAATACAAAGCAATGGAAATGTTTTTAACAACTTTACACCCAGAAGTGAATGATATATTTTTGTTGGCCATGATTCTTGTCAATCAAATTTGTGTTTTGGAACTGTTTTTAACTCCAGGTGGTATATTGAGAAAATTGGTTAAGTTTTTTCTGTTTATTGCTTTTGCTAATACAGCACTCATGATATCATGGTTGCCCCTCATTGGGATGTTTCGGTTAAATTTTACCCAACCTTTACTTAATATTGGTATGAAAATGTGTCGCTTTATAACAGACAGTAATCTAGTATCAGTGGTCAGATATCATTTCCTAACATATTCCAGAAGTCCTATGTGGTTTGTGTTGAACTTTTGTGTGTATGGATTTTGTGTTAATCAGTTGAGGAAAAGGTTTAAGCTTCTCCACAATGATGATGAGGACTCGCCCGATTGGTTCTACCAGGATTTAGAATATTTCCGTAGGTTCTTCCACTCTTTTAGATCTACCAGAAGTATGTCGGCAAATACAAGAACAAATGAAGATAACTTATTCATCAGAACATATGAAGATATAATTATTCAACGGCTTGCAACCCCTGATCTATGGCTTCGGCCACTCTTACCAACAGACTTTGTCAAAGACCTCCCCGTCTGGAAAAACTGTGATTGCCCATCAAGAACAAATGATAAATACAAAAAAGTACACAACAAGGAAAAATTAATCTGTGATCCAAATTTATGTCAGTGCAAATATCGACCAGCAAAAATTTTAATGACAAAGGAATGCTCTATTTGTCTTGACAATTATGTGAAAGACTGTATTATGGTATCAGTGCCCTGTAGACATGTATTTCATCAAAATTGCTTAGAAAAATGGTTCAAATCAGGAAATCAATGTAAAAACCTAAACTGCCCTGTTTGTCGATGGCCAGCATATAAAGCAAAAGTAGAAATTCTCGATATACCAGAAATGTCGGAAATGGACATCTAACAGCATAAATTGTGGTCAAATTATTTAATCGACTGATTGATAAATTAAACCATATTCATATTAGCATGAGTTCACTGTAGACTCATGAAAATAGAAAGTTGTACTACATGCAGTTTTGCACAAAGAATGATGTAAACTATGTCAAACCCTATCAATAGGTTACATATGGCAAACACTAACTTAGTTGTACATTATAGCACATGAGATGCTTCCGTGGACATTAACTGTATGCTCAAAAACAATGAAACAAGTTGTTAATTTACCATATTATAATTCACTTTTCCCTTTTTCTACGTCATATAGCCTAGAGAAAGGAATACTTATTTTTACTATATACAAATGACTATCACCAAATAATTCATTATACTGTTTCGCATGAATAGTTACTTGGTTATGGTTTTAAACATGTTGTTTGCATCAGGAGTCAGATGTAAAGTGTGTTTTTTTGTAAATAAATCAATGTCAAAACCACATCGTGTTATTTTCTCTTTACGGTTCAAGGGTTCTTCGTGGCCAAATGCAACATGAATGTACCGATGATAGCCAGTTCCTTTAGGAGGCGTTGGGGGCTTGTATTCTGTAAAATTAAATTAAAGTTGTTACAGTAAAATGCAAAATCTGCCCAAATGTTCTCTTGTTCAGTACAAGTATAAGATATTAGTTAGTAATCTTAAATGTCAGCTATCACAGGAAACTACTCCATAGGTAAAAAATATGAAACAATCTAGCTAAAGAATAAAAACATACTTCTTGCTAAAAGTTATTTCATACCTGTTACTACGTTGAACTCTGCATTAGCATTGGCAGAAATGCCATTCTGAAGATCACTTCCCTTAAATTAAATAAACAGCATTGTAATTTCTAGGGGTGCACTAGAACTGGGTCCTGGGCCTTCTAGCCAGAACTGATAAAAAACATGGCAAGAAATGAAATCCTTGGACAGAGTAGTATAATAATTAACTATAGAAGATTGATTTTATGATAACATTCTTCCTACTTTGACATCAGACAACAACATATGAAGCCAACTTCTGCACTTTGGATTTTTTTCTGAGGGTGCATCGGGATCAATCATCAGTACTTCATAAAATTTTTCCTGGATAAGGAACAAACTTTAAATTCAAAATAACTTGTTGCAGAAAAAATCACAAGTCCCTTTAGAGTCGAGTCAAATTAATCTACCTTAGACAGCTACAAACGGTTAACATGTCTGATGAGGGGAGAGTCATTAATTACCCATTACGTACACCATAATGCAATTTATGCTGTCTAATTCCAGATTATTTTACTCATGAAGGGGAGAGCTCTGGTGCTCCATGGGTTCACCAGACTATCTGCCCATGTGTCTAGCTAACCCAAGAAGTTGCATTGCACCATACTTTATTATTTTACTCTGTCTAATGCCAGATAATTGTACTTGTCAAGGGAATAGTGCTGGTGCTCAATGGGTTAAATACTTGGGTTATTGGCTACTCACTGTGCACAATTTCCCCGCCAGTCCAGGTTCATGCACTTCATTCTCACCTTGGTAATATTTGGTACAAATTATAAAGTAAAATGGTACACCTAAAGTCCAGAAAAACAGAATTGTCTGCGCAATATTGTGAGGTTGGCCCCCGCAAAATGATAGCCAAAGTTGTCTGCACATTTTGCAATTAACTTTCCAATGTGGTTGCACTTTGCCAGGCATATGTTTTGGACATATTGGGTTACATCTTTTATACACATATGTTTTTAGTACAATAACATAACAATGTGTACCTGAACTGCGTGAGAAAATGAGATTTTTGGTGGAGGAGTGACCAGTTCTAGATCATATTTGGTGCCACATTTAACAACCAAAGATTCGTAAGTTACGTTGAGAAAATCGTTCTCACTGGTAGGACACGCGTTAAAATTATATCCTTGTGTCTTGTAGATGCTGTAAATACATAAGAAGAGAACAAGCACACAGCAACGAGTGGAATTCATCTTTAAAATATGGCAAAGTCCGCACAGATCAAAACATCACTCCATTGTCACGGCCATGTTGAAAAATATTTACACGTTTATAATTATATCTTTCTGGTGAATTATGGGTAATAAGTGGTTTGATGACGTAGCAAACGTAGCATATTCTATGATCTCCCCCCAAGCACTTGATTCTATTTCTGTTCCCCTTTAATACTCGATCTTGTTTTAACACATTTCAAAATAATTTATTTAGACTATTTACTATTCTTTATTAAAATCTTTTGTGAAATTAACTTTGAAACAAATTAAGTTCTTCGTGATATTAATTTTATTTTATTACGTCTTGCATAACCAAATGATTCCTTATTTAGATACAAAACAACGGCTATCTACCCAACAGGCTGGCAATTGGAGATTTCACTCGACAGAAACATCCTTGATCGACACTACGGATTCAATCTTGAACGCCATCGATGGAAAAGAGTTAACGGCCGTTGTCCTGCTAGATATGAGTAAAGCTTTCGACAGTATAGATCATAACATTCTCCTGTTGAAATTACAAGATGTCGGCGTATCACCTGCTGCCCTAAACTGGTTCTCGAGCTATTTATCGGAAAGATTCCAGGTCGTGCGTATCAATACCGTCCTATCCGACAAACTACCTGTGAAGACTGTGAACAGTGGTGTCCCACAAGGCAACATTCTTGGACCGATCCTCTTTAATATCTATGTTAACGAACTACCAACAATTCCTCAGAGCAGTTTATCCAAGATGTACGTTGATGATAATAAACTATCACTTACTTTTCCTATCCAACAATGTGCCTCAGCAATAACAGAGATGAATAAAGATCTGTGCAGGATTCGTGACTGGTGTTTTGACAACCACCTCCTTCTCAACGCATCCAAGACAAAGCTTATGGTTTTTGGTAGTCGCCAAATGATCTCGAAAGTCCCTGACTTTCGTCTGTCATTACTGGGTAAAGAACTTATTCCAGTCCAAACAGCGAAAGATCTCGGAGTTACATTTGATTCAAGCCTTTCCTTCGACTGTCATGTCGCTAAGACTGTTTCTTCTTGCATGTCCAGCTTGGCGCAGATTAACCGTGTAAAACATGTTTTAGATAAAAGTTTGCTTATCTTGGTAATTCGAAGTTTAGTTTTCAGTAAAATGTATTATTGCTCGTCGGTATAGGCTAACACCACTGCAAATAACATCCGCAGACTTCAAGCAGTACAGAACTTTGCCGCCAGAATTATCACTAAATCAAGAAAATTTGACCACATAACACCCTTGTTGACTGAACTGCACTGGATTCCCGTTTCTTCAACATTTAGCAATTTAAACGTTCAATTGAAGCTGTCCGCTCTCTCGTCTGTTTATATTATAGTTTTCTGCGTGCGAAAAGTTTTCAACAACTTTACAACGGAAGAAAAATGGTTGAATCGTGAGAAAAATCTGTGCTTTGCTACAGATTTTTATCCCGATTTTGTGAATCGCAAGGTGCTGACGCGGAGTACTCACGACAGGTTATTTACGTAGAGCGAGCAAAATCGGCCCGACAAATCGCAGCGTGTAAACGTAGCTTTATAATTTTTTGTAAATGTTAATTGGCTCCGAAAAGCCCCGTTGGGGAGAGTTCAATAAATTATTGTATTGTATTGTATTCAATTTTCAGTTCTGCGATATACCAGAAATGTCGGAAATGGATATCTAGTCGGGCAGATAGAAGGAAAAAACTTACTATATCGTAGGACAATTCCATTTTGCCTTCATATTGTGCCCAGAAGGCTAATAAGTACGTTTCTGTATGTTGGCCGCGTTAAAATTTCTTGTGGGCTCCTGCCGACACGTTTTTCTTCGAATTTTGTATTAAACTCTATTACAGTTAAAAAATTGAAATTTCTGATACACTTCTAATACAAATGACTTGCATCATTTGAAAGCTTGCAAAAAACTACATACCCGGGATTTTCAAGTTCTTCTTGAGTTAGGAGCTGTTGAATGCGTGTTTTCAAACTAGTACCCAGGAATTTTGCGAGATTTTGGCTTATTTTCCACATTTGAAACAGCAATAACTCGAAAAGCGCTTGAAAATCCCAACTAACCATTTAAATGTTTCATATGTAGTTTTTTGTTAGCTCTCAATTAATGCAAGTCATTTGTATTAGAAATGTATCAGAAATTTCAATTTTTTAACTGTAATAGAGTTTAATACAAAATTCGAAGAAAAACGTGTCGGCAGGAGCCCACAAGAAATTTTGGCGCGGCCAACATACAGTTACTAGCCTTCAGGGCACAATATGAAGGCAAAATGGAATTGTCCCACGATATAGTAAGTTTTCCATAATTTTGAGCCTCTATCTGCCTGACTATAATCCCCTTAGATTAACAGCCTAAATTGTGGTCAAATTATTTAATTGATTAAACTAAACTATATTCATATTAGCATGAGTTCACTGTAGACTCATGAAAATAGAAAGTTGTACTACATACAGTTTTGCACTGATTTACACTATGTCAAACCCTATCAATAGGTTACATATGGCAAACACTATAGTTAGTTGTACACTATATAGCGCATGAGATGCTTTTGTGGACATTAACTGTATGCTCAAAAACAATGAAACAAGTTGTTAATTTACCATATTATAATTCACTTTTCCCTTTTTCTACATCATATATATATCGTATACAAATGACTATCACCAAATAATTCATTATACTGTTTCGCATGAATATGAGTTATACTTTTCCCTTTTTCTACATACTATATATATATATCGTATACAAATGACTATCACCAAATAATTCATTATACTGTTTCGCATGAATATGAGTTACTTTGTTTGTGTTTTAAACATGTTGTTTGCATCAGGAATCAGATGTAAATTGTGAGTTATGCTAAATAAATCAATGTCAAAACCACATCGTTGTGTTATTTTCTCAAGATTCAAGGGTTCTTCATGGCCAAATGCAGCTTGAATATACCGATGATAGCCAGCTCCTTTGGGAGGCCCTGGGGACATGTATTCTGTAAAATTAAATTAAAGTGTTACAGTACATATACATTGTAAAATGCCAAATGTTTTCTTGTTCAGTAGAAGTATAAGATACTATAGTCAATAATCTTAAATGTCAGCTATCATAGGAAACTACTCCATCATAAGTAAAACAGACTAAAACAATATGAAAAGATCTAGCTAAAGAACAAAGACATACTTCTTGCTATAAAACGTATTTCATACCTGTTACCACGTTGAACCCTGTATTAACATTAGCAGAAATGCCATTCTGAAGATCACTTCCCTTAAATGAAATAAACAGCATTGTAATTTCTAGCTGTGCACCAGAATTTGCTTCTGGCCAGTTAGTTCTAGCCAGAACCGACGAAAAAACACGGCAAAAACTGAAATCCTTGGACAGAGAGTAATATAATAATTAACTATAGGAGATAGATAACATTCTTCCTACCTTGACATCAGACAACAACATATGTAGCCAACTTCTGCATTTCGATGCATCAGGATCGATCATCAGCACTTCATAAAATTTTTCCTGGATAAAAAACAAAAATTAAATTCAAACTAAATTGTTGCAGAAAAAATCTTTGGGATTACATCTTTTATACACATATGTTTTTAGTACAACAACAACAATGTGTACCTTATCTGCGTGAGAAAATGAGATATTTGGTGGATCAGGAGTGACCAATTCCAGATCATATTTGGTGCCACATTTAACAACCAAAGATCCGTAAGTTACGTTGAGAACATTGTTCTTACTGGTAGGACACGCGTTAAAATTATATCCTTGTATCTTGTAGATGTTGGAAATACATAAGAGAACAAACACACAGCAACGAGTGAAATTCATCTTTAAAATATGGCAAAGTCCGCACAGATCAAACCACACTCGCACAGATCAAATCACAACTCGCACAGTGCAATATTGTCCCACAATATTGCAACTTTTATAGGCAGATTGCGAGGGAAAAAATTGCAAGTTGACTATTAAAGGTTTCTAAACAATCGTCTGATTGGGACTATTAGCAAAATGAAAGCCAATGACATAGCCTGAGCAACTGGATTGGTGCTTCCCTATTTCTTATATAGTCCAAATCAGAGGCTTTGTTTACAAACCTTTAGTAAATTTCAACTTGCAATTTTTTTCCCGTCGGTTGCAAATTGCTCCGAGCAATCTGCCTATCAAAATTGCAATATTGTGGGACAATATTGCAGTGTTGCTCGCAAGAAAACATCCGGTTTGAATGTAAGAGATTTCTGTAAGACATTTCAAAATAATTTATTTACTATTACTTGAATAATTTTACAAATACCTAATAATATTTTATGAATTCTATGACTATGGAAGATCATTTTCTTCCTACTGTATATGCATTGCGAGGCAATGTTTATCAAACAATGTTTTGGATAAGATCAGCGTATGGTGTTCCTGTTTGGGCAACCTTCTCGAATGTTGACAGGAATGATTTCTTTTCATCTTCTATTAAATTCTGGGAAGATAATTTGACAAGATAGTCAGTATAAAAACTAAACGAATAAGTGGTTTTCATTAAGCATATCGCGCAGTTATGAGCGTGAGAAACCATGCATAAGCATTCCTTACATTATACGTATGAATGTATGTGGGGGGTAAATAAATAGAAAATGAGAGATCCAATTTGATTTCTCCTCCAAGTGTCTACACTTATCGACCATCATATATGCTGCCCTGCTACTCACCAGTAGCAACGACATAAACATCGACAGAAGCTAGTAGTTACCCAAGAGTTATATTCTTATGTGCATGATGGTCATTTATCTTTATACGCAACGCAGTAGTGACGAGCGCAGTAATAAGAGTTCTCTCTTGTTTTCACACTTTCTCGTGCAGGACAAAATCTTAATTTTTTGATGTCTTAGTGACTTAAATATTACCTGATTATGATAAAAATCCGTGGCAGTAATAAGAAAGTAAGTACGATCGATATTTTCCAACTTGCCAATGCGTGAAACGACATGTTGAAATCTCAATAAAGTTAAGATTCATAAGAGCGTTCTTCATGTGACTGATTTTACAAAAGCACAATCATCACCATCGTACAACAACAACGACATCGACAACGACATCGACAACGACAACAACAGTAACAACACCACCATATTGTTGCACATTAATAACTTGCGTAAACAACAACGCCAACATCAGTCATCATCCCAACGACGACGATCACAACAAAGTGTCAACAACGGACACAAGTGGCAGTTATCAGTAGATGAAACCCCCCATATAGCGAGATTTTTCCCGCCATATGACGTCAGCATTTTTCCTGCCATAGAACGTCAGCGTTTTGAGGGATAAGAGTGACGTCATTTTTGGAACATTGTCGCGTAACATTTGTCGCGTGATCTTTTGGAATTTTGAGATGGCGTCAGCAAGTATTTGTCGCATAACGTTTATTGTAAAAAAATATGATCTTTAAATTGTATTAAGCGCTACAATACCAGTTCGAACCGGATTTAATATAATGTATAAATTGAGGTCTTCGAGTGTACAAGAGCGTAGTGTTTTATACACAGCTTTCGCAGAGGAAAAAATATTTATTTTAAAATGGAAGGTTTATATGATAGGCATGATCTGTTTGCAGCAATGTCTATTTGATTTTTGGGGGAATTTGAGAGGAAATTATCCAGGCTATTTTGAGCTACCTGATGTATTGGAGCGGAGAACATTGTGCATAAGGGCACTTTTACGTGTAGTTTAAAGTTTTAAATTGTTTTTCAGAACAATATAAATGTCTTAGTTCCTTACTTTGCTATAAAAATGTGTTTATATGTGTCTAGTTTTCAGTCGAGAAAAAGTTTAACACCAAAAACGCATAACACCAAAAACGTAGTAAAAATTTATTGAGCCAAAAGACCTATTACTCGTCAATATCATCAACAGTTTGTATACACAGCAAGAGATTTGTATCTATGTACGTGATAGACGATTGATGCAATGATTGTGGGACATTACGAATGAGCCTATACGCATGTGAACTGTGCAAATGATTTTAGAGCGAAATAATGTTGCTACGATACTGTTTTGCTTGCATAAATTTATAGGTGTTCCCCAAGGCTTCCCTCGGGGTACGTATGCGTCTTCGCATTTTGCTCATGCGTCTTCGCATTGAGTTCGCATTTTGCTCATGCGTCTTCGTATTTTTCGCATTTTGCTTCGCATTTTGCTTCGCATTTTTCGCATTTTGCTTCGCAGTTTTCGCATTTTGCTTCGCATTTTGCTTCGCATTCTTCGCATTTTGCTTCGCATTCTTCGCATTTTGCTTCGCATTCTTCGCATTAAGGCCCGAAATGGCACTTTTTGGCCCGATTAGGCCCGATGGCCCGGTAGAAGGTCCGGCTAAACTCTAATGTCCATTTTTCTACAAGAACTTATTGTTGCAATGAAACAAGGCACAATACAGTTTTAATAAATATTTATTTCACATGAACATTACATCGATTCATCACTATCTGAAAAACGTCCTTGATCTTCTAAAAGCTGTTTCAACAGAAACTTTCTTTTGTCAACCGCTGCAGATAAAGCTTCATCAGGATCAAACGAGTCTTCGTTCGCTAATGTCTCCTTCGTTTCCATAATCTTTCTATGCACAGGATCATTTTTAAGTGCACTCATCCATCGTAAATTATCCACGTAAACGTCAGCGAATTCTTTCTGAAGTTCAGGGAGAACGTTTTCAAAGGCTTTCTGCTTAGCTGCACTTTCTTCTTGCCCATCCATTTGCAACGTTTTCATAAATTCATCATACTCTGGTCGAACGGTCGCCTTTGCATCGTCAATCATGGTTGCCCAAGGATCAATCTCTTCCTTTATTTCATCATCATCTCCGGAATTCTCACTGTTTTCATCTTCCTCAGTTTCCGTAACACTTTCTTCGTCTGGAAAAGAGTCCACGCTTTGTTCATCTGAGTAGCTACTTCCTCCTCCATCCATCGAGGCATTATCGTCAATCTTTGCATATGCACAATGGTCCGCCTTATGTCGCCTGACATTATAATAGGACGAAAACTGTTTCAGACATCGATCACACTGGTAAGAAGCCATAGTTCGCTCTTAAGAAATGAAAAATGAGAGCTCTCAGCGTGGTTACTTATATAGTGGATATATGGTTGGTTTGCTTGTGGGACAATACAGGTGAAATAGTTTGAACGTCATTGAGAGTACGCATGCGCATTTCGTCTTAAGTACTTTTATTATGAAGGACTAACAGCTAGCTAGGCTGAGATGTTCCGGTGGCCTTTTTGGCCCGTATGGCCTTTATGCAGCCCGTTTGGCCTTTTTGGGTCATAATTCGTGCATCTGTTCCTCGAATCGTAAACATGATCATCATGCATTCTTCTAACATCGATCCTACGTCGACTTCCCATCAACCTTACATCCACCTCACCTTCACCTCGACTTTTTAGAGAGAAATAAATTAAGTGGCAGCACTCTCCCCCTGGTGTCAGACAGGGTAGGGCGAGTTCGGGGGCATTACCACTTAAAGGGTTAACAGGTTGTATGGGTAGGTAGTCTGATTAACCCATCGGGTTCTACCGGGCCATCGGGCCTAATCGGGCCAAAAAGTGCCATTTCGGGCCTTAATGCGAAGAATGCGAAGCAAAATGCGAAGAATGCGAAGCAAAATGCGAAGAATGCGAAGCAAAATGCGAAAAATGCGAAGCAAAATGCGAAAACTGCGAAGCAAAATGCGAAAAATGCGAAGCAAAATGCGAAGCAAAATGCGAAAAATACGAAGACGCATGAGCAAAATGCGAACTCAATGCGAAGACGCATGAGCAAAATGCGAAGACGCATACGTACCCCGAGGGAAGCCTTGGGGAACACCTATAAATTTATGCAAGCAAAACAGTATCGTAGCAACATTATTTCGCTCTAAAATCATTTGCACAGTTCACATGCGTATAGGCTCATTCGTAATGTCCCACAATCATTGCATCAATCGTCTATCACGTACATAGATACAAATCTCTTGCTGTGTATACAAACTGTTGATGATATTGACGAGTAATAGGTCTTTTGGCTCAATAAATTTTTACTACGTTTTTGGTGTTATGCGTTTTTGGTGTTAAACTTTTTCTCGACTGAAAACTAGACACATATAAACACATTTTTATAGCAAAGTAAGGAACTAAGACATTTATATTGTTCTGAAAAACAATTTAAAACTTTAAACTACACGTAAAAGTGCCCTTATGCACAATGTTCTCCGCTCCAATACATCAGGTAGCTCAAAATAGCCTGGATAATTTCCTCTCAAATTCCCCCAAAAATCAAATAGACATTGCTGCAAACAGATCATGCCTATCATATAAACCTTCCATTTTAAAATAAATATTTTTTCCTCTGCGAAAGCTGTGTATAAAACACTACGCTCTTGTACACTCGAAGACCTCAATTTATACATTATATTAAATCCGGTTCGAACTGGTATTGTAGCGCTTAATACAATTTAAAGATCATATTTTTTTACAATAAACGTTATGCGACAAATACTTGCTGACGCCATCTCAAAATTCCAAAAGATCACGCGACAAATGTTACGCGACAATGTTCCAAAAATGACGTCACTCTTATCCCTCAAAACGCTGACGTTCTATGGCAGGAAAAATGCTGACGTCATATGGCGGGAAAAATCTCGCTATATGGGGGGTTTCATCT